AATTACCCTGTTCTAGCTCATAATCTAAAAGTTGTCCTTTACCAGCTGTGATGTGTTGTGTTTTACATTTATCAATTCCAAAGTCCATTTGTATGTCACGTGAGAATGTTTCGGTAATGTGTAGAAGGTGATTAAGTTTTATGCTTGTGGAAGAGTACAATTTAAGATCGTCCATGTAAAACAGGTGTGTAATGTTGTGATGTATTTCGTGGTTGTGTTTAATATTGTACCCAAAGTTAGTAGTGTTTAACAAATGTGAAAGTGGATTAAGAGCAAGACAAAACCAGAGCGGACTTAAAGAATCGCCTTGAAAAATTCCTCTTTTAATTTGTATTGGGTCGGTAATAAGTTTTGTGTCGTTTAGTGTAAGTGTTAACGTAGTGTTCCAACATGACATTATGTAATTGAGGAATTGTGTAATATTGTTGCTGACTTTGTATATTGAGAGTACTTGTTGTAACCAAGAGTGTGGTACTGAATCGAATGCTTTTTTGTAATCAATGTATGCAGTGTGTATTTTTCGTTTGTTATGTCTGGATTGTTCAAGTATAACAGAGTCTATAATGAGTTGCTCTTTACAGCCTCTGGAATACTTGGTACACCCTTTTTGTTCTTCGTATAGAATGTTGTTATCAGTACAGTGTTGGTATATTTTGTTTGTAATGCATGATGTAAGGATTTTGTATATTGTAGGAAGGCATGTAATTGGTCTATTTAGATGGGTCTTGTGTATTGTTGTCTTTTGGGAGCATGTAAGTGATACCTTGTGTAAAGAATGCAGGAGTGCGATCTGGTGAATTAAGAAGTTCAGTAAATTGTTGTGCAAGGTAAGAGTGAGTGTAGGTAAAATATTTCCACCAAATGTTGTGAATGTTATCAATGCCTGGACTTTTCCAGTTATGTAAGTGATTAATAGTTTGAATGATGTCTGTTGTAGTGATGTTTGTGTTATTCATAGGAGTAATGTATTCAGTGCGTGTGGTTTCTATGGTAATCCACGGGGCGTGTGGATTGTGTTTAATGTCTTTGGTCCATAAGTCAAACCAGTATTGCTGAAGTGAGTGTAGAGATGGTGGAATGAGTTTT